GATCATATCTGTTTTCTGCTCACTCTTGTGTCCTCCATTGTCTAAAGTACTGCCACATAGTAGGTGTTTTCAATGAATGTATAAGAAGAGATGAATGAATCAATGAATGAATGAATCAATGAATGAATGGGAGAGGGGCAAGTGGCCTAAGCTAGAAGCAGGATAGGAATTACAGGGAGAAATAAGATGGAACCATTTTTGAAGGAGTTGCTAATTAGAGGTGCTGCAGACATGGAAAGAGCGAAAAGAAAGACTATCTTCTCTTTTCTTCTATTTCCTCCTCTGTCCCTTCTCTCCATTTCTATACCCTACTATCTAGAAATCCCTGCCCTGGACCAGCTTTGGACTAAGGAATAGGAGAGATGAAGGCAGAGTTAGAGGATCTTGGTAGTAAGGAGTCCTTGGCAGTTGTGGGTCTAAAGATGTGAGGAGAGGAAAGGGAATGAAATCTCAAGCAGCAGGAGGGACAAAAGATGCTTGACTATCCAGCTTCTCACAGATTCATATCTTGTGCCTCAGCCTCTAATATAGCCACTACCTTGTGGCTCTAGGACCTCAGTAAGCTAGGGCATGGCATTGTTTCAGAATACCTATATTTCCCAGTGACCCAGTTCTCTCTTTTCTTTCCACAGAGCTCAAGAGCTCAGTCCCTTGGTAGCACTTTTCTTTGCTACATGTGTTCCTTTAAATATCTGTCTTTCTCACTGCTTGAACCAGAATCTTGGTTGAAAGATTTAAAATTCTTTAACCATCCTAAGGGATTATTATTTTTCCATGTTTTCTTAAAGAAGTCACTTAAAAATGTATCTCCTATGCCAAAAGGTATATAAATTCAGTTTGATGGAACAGGACTACAAGAAGACAATTTGTAAATACACACAAATTACTAACATGTTGTAGTTTATAATACTTCACAAAATCTATCTGCAGGATTGATTAACAGGAGTTTCATAGAACTGAGTAATCTATTACAATATTTATAATACTTAATACAATAAGTGTGACTAAGGTTCATCCTAAAAACCCAACTGAATATTGATTTTAAATTTTGAATTTTTACTTTTACAGATAATGGTAAATTAACTGCAAAAGTAAGAACTTAAAATGATAATTTCCTATGTAAGAACTACATTAGTTATTTCCTGTGCTTTCTGTAGTTACAGTAAAGGAACTTATGTTCATATAAAAGCAGCTGCTCTAGGTGCTAAAAACCTTGGGTAATTATAGTGGTTTTGTTAGGATTCTCTAATGATGTCCACTTCTTTTTCCCCATGGCACAAAGCTGTCTTTTGCTGACGACTCTTAGGATAGATGTCAGTGACCTTATGTATGGCATGAGAGATTTTTCCCCTATAGCATATGCTTTGATGTCAGTAGCTTTTGGACAATGTCAGGGAACAAAAAGAATGAAAAAATTAAAGCCAAATATAGAGATACCGACCCCAGGAATACATACAGAGAAATGAGTTAATATTCTGATGCTAGGCTTCAAGGTGTCCTTTGACTAAGCCTTCAGAAGATTATTTAAAATGAACCACAAAAAGCACATTTCAAATATATCCCAGGAAATGTCTATATTCAGAATGCCAAGAACCTGTGTCTAGACATTTTTAATTGTTTGTGTCTTCATGGTGGAAGTAAACAATTTAAGATTTTACTCTTACTCTTTGGATATCTTCACTCTATAGGAGGAAAAAGCAACTTTTGGTATATACCAACTGCTGGAACTCAGTGAATAGTTTGCATTCCTTTTCCAGAATACTTTTTGTGCCCTTCTTCATTTGTTCTATACACATACAGTAGGTGCCTGCTATGTCCCAAGCACTGGGCTGGGCTCTGGGTAACCCTGAAGTCAATAAATAAAAATTCCTTGCTCTCAAAGACATTCCTTGCTCTCAAAGACATTCAGTCTAATGAGGGATATGGTGATACACAATAACAAGATTATATTAATCAAGTTTCCTCACCAACCATTCTCTATTTAAATTATGTAAAAAAAATTATAGTGGGATAATCAACACAGTTAAAATATCAAATAAGATTATAGAGTTTATAACAAAACTTAAAGAGTATGTTAGGGCTTTAAACAAAACCACTTTCAGCTTCTTCAGGTATTTCTACACACATTTCTGTCCACATTTCTAAATAAAAATGACTATTTTTGATTTTTAAATCTTATTTATCTACTAAATTTCTACTATGAAAGATGATGATTCTCCGCAGAGGATCCAAGATGGCTGATGGCTAACATCTCGGGATTGCAGCTCTCAGTTAAAGCACAGAGTACTAGAGGATGCCACATGTTCAGACAAATTCAAGTCGCTCACGGAACAGAAGATCCCCAGTGGAGGAGTCACACGGGTCGCCAGCACAACTCTTGTGGCCGGCGCAGTGGTTTTGCCGGCACCTCGGTGAGGCAGCTCTCAGAGCAGAGCAAACAGGGCTGGCTCCCCTTCTGACCCAGGTTTGGAGGACCCACATGGGCCCCCAGCACAACTCCTGAAGCCGGCGCAGCGGCTGTGGTGGCCCCTCGGCGCGGCAGGTCTCCGCGCAGAGTAAACGAGACTGGTTTCCCTTCTGACCGAGGTTTGGAGCTCCGGAAAGGCAGAGTCGCCTATTTCAGACACAAGAAGGAAGCCAGACAGGAGAATCCTGGGCAGAAAAGCACCATCAGTCTTAACGCCGCTGTTCTGGCCCTGGGAACTAACAACCTAAACGTCCAATCAAAAGACCTAATCTGAAAGTTGGTAATTTCAAAGACAACAGGAGGATAAATTTACAATGATGGGAAGAAACCAGCGTAAAAAGGCTGAGAATACTTAAAAATCAGAACGCCTCTCCCTCTAAAGATGATCACAGTTCCACATCAACAATGGAACAAGGCTTGATGGAGAACGAGTGCATCCCAATAACAGAATCACCCTTCAAGGAATGGATAATAAGAAACTTCTGTGAGTTAAAAGAACATGTTGTAGCCCAATGTAAAGAAACTAAGAACTTTGAAAAAAGGTTTGATGAAATCCTATTGAGAATAGACAACTTAGAAAGGAATATAAGTGAATTAATGGAACTGAAGAATACAATACAGGAACTCCAAGAAGTTTGCACAGGTTTAAACACTCGAATTGTTCAAGCAGAAGAAAGGATATCAGAGGTCAAAGTCCAACTTAATGAAATAAAGCAAGAAGACAAGATTAGAGAACAGAGGATAAAAAGGAATGAGCAAAGTCTCCAAGAAATGTGGGACTATGTGAAAAGACCAAATTTACGTTTGATAGGTGTACCTGAATGAGATGGAGAGAATAAATCCAAGCTGGAAAATACCCTTCAGGATATTATTCAGGAAAATTTTCCTGAACTAGCAAAGCAGGTCAATATTCAACCCCAGGTAATACAGAGAACACCACAAAGATATTCCTCAAGAAGAGCAACCCCAAGGCACATAATCATCAGATTCACCAGGGTTGAAATGAAGGAGAAAATACTAAGGGCAGCCAGAGAGAAAGGTCAGGTTACCCACAAAGGCAAGCCTATCAGACTTACAGCAGATCTCTCAGCAGAAACTCTACAAGCCAGAAGAGAGTGGGGGCCAATATTCAACATCCTCAAAGAATAGAACCTTCAGCCCAGAATTTCATATCCAGCCAAACTAAGCTTCACAACTGAAGGAAAAATAAAATCTTTTACGAACAAGCAAGTACTCAAAGATTTTATTACCACCAGGCCTGCTTTACAAGAGCTTCTGAAAGAAGCACTACACACAGAAAGAAACAACCAGTATTAGCCTTTCTAAAAATATACCAAAAAGTAAAGAGCACCAACATAAAGAAGAATTTACATCAACGAATGGATAAAACAGCCAGTTAACATCAAATGGCAGTAACCCTAAATTTAAATCAACTAAATCCCCCAATCAAAAGACACAGTCAAAACCCAATGGCATGTTACATCCAGACCTGTTTCACATGCAAGGATACACAAAGACTCAAAACGAAGGGATGGAGAAAGATTTACCAACCAAATGGAGAGCAAAAATAAATAAATTAATAAATAAAAAGCAGGAGTTGCAATTCTCGTAGCAGATAAAATAGATTTTAAAGCAACAAAGATATAGTGGTAAAAGGATCAATGCAACAACAAGAGCTAACGATCCTAACACCCAGATACATAGAGACTTAGATTCAATGAGACAGAAAATTAATAAGGATATCAAGGACTCAAACTCAGATCTGGAACAAGTAAACTTAATAAATATTTATAGAGCTCTCCACTTCAAATACACAAAATATACATTCTTGTCAATACCACATCACACCTACTCATCGGTTTAAATGAAACATTGATTGGCCATTATTAATACCCATTTTTTTTCAGAATAAAGCAATATTTCTGTTCACCCTCCCTCTTTCTCTCCCTCTTTCTCCCTCTCCTTTACTCATTTTTTTTCTTTCCTTCTCTCAAAAAAAAAAAAAAAGAAAATAAGAAAGAAATCAACTTGTAAACCTCTAGATCCAGGTCGGCAATGTCTCTCTCATTGCTTGATTTCCTTCCTTCCCTTCCCTCCCTCCCTCCCCCCTTCCTCCCTTCCTTCCTTCCTTCCTTCACCCCTTCCTTCCTCCCTCCCTTCCTCCTTCCTCCCTTCCTCCTTCCCTCCCTTCCTGCCTTCCTCCCTTCCTCAAAAAAAAAAAAAAAAATGATGATTCTCATAAGTACTACCTCTGACCCATACTACACTTCCCTTCTCCTGCTATGTTAATAGAGTTAAACAACGTTGTTAATTAATTTTCAGTGACTGTATTCTTCTTCTTTGAGACAGGTTCTTACTATGTCACCCAGGCTGGAGTGCAGTGGTACGATCATGGCTCACTGCATCCTTGACCTCACAGGCTCAAGCGACCCTCCCACTTAAGCCTCCCAAATAGCTGGGACTACAGGCATGTGCCACCATGCCTGCCTAATATTAATGTATTTTTTGTAAAGATAGGGTTTCACCATCTTGCCTGGGCTGGTCTCGAACTCCTGAGCTCAATCAATCCTCCTGCCTCAGCCTCCCAAAGTGCTGGGATTACAGGCGTGAGCCACTGCACCTGGCCAATTTTCAATAACAATATTAGTAAGCTCAATTAAGTATTAGTCACAGCTAAACTGCATAGTACACTAGGATTGCTTCTTATTTTCCCTAGAGTTAAAATTGCCTAATTATTTATTTGCTTGGTTTTCTATGTACTTACCACAATTCAGTCTGTTGCAACTTGGGTTAGGTGCCTTCTAGCCTACTGTACAGCTGCTTTCCTAGGACTTACCTTCACTTCTGTGAATTTCCTTAACTTTTTTACTGTTTTCTAGATACCATGTCTTACCTTTCCTAGTTTGCTCTCCTGTTTAGGTGGAATACTTAATTTGTATGGGTTGTGTTTTTTTGTGTTATTTTAAATAAATCTTTATTGTTTTTTAGAAGTTTTATATTTTAGCAGTTAAATTTGGAATGGTCCATTTTGAGTAAATTTTTGTGCATGGGGTAAAGGGTAAAAGTTCACTTTTCCTACTTGGATATCCAGTTGTTCCATCATTAGTTGAAAACATTATCCTTTCTTCCATTGAAATATTGGAACTTTTGGTTGAGCACAGTGGCTCACACCTGTAATTCTAGCATTTGGGAGGCTGAGGTGGGTGGATCACTTGAGGTTAGGAGTTCAAGACCAGACTGGCTATCATGGTGAAACCCCATCTCTACTTAACAAAAAAAAAAAAATACAAAAATTAGCTGGGTATGTGGCACATGCATGTAATCCCATCTACTCAGGAGGCTGAGGCAGGAGAATTGCTTGAACCCGGGAGCAGAAGTTGCAGTGAGCTGAGATTGTGCCACTGTACTCCAGCCTGGGCAATAGAGCAAGACTCTGTGTCAAAAAAAAAAAAAAAAAAAAAAAAAAAAAAAAAAAAAGAAAGAAAGAAAAGAAAAAGAAAAAAGAAAAGAAAGAAAAGAAAAAGAAATATTGGAACTTTTGTTAAGAATCAGTTGACCATATATGCGAGTTTACTTATAAATTGTTCTATTTCCTCGATCTTTATGTCCATCCTGTCAATGCCACATTCCCTTGATTACTGTAACTTTAAAGTTGTGAAATCAGGTAGCGTAAGTTCTCCAAATGTATTTTATTTTATTTTTGAGACAGGATCTCACTCAGACACCCAGGTTGGAGTGCAGTGCCACAATCATGGCTCACTGCTGTTTCAACCTCCTGGGTTTATGAAATCCTCTCACCTCAGCCTTCTGAGTAGCTGTGACCACAGGCATGTGCCACCACACCCAGCTAATTTCTTAAAAAATTTTGTAGGGATGGAGTCTTGAACTCCTGGGGAGTGATTCTCTAGCCTCAGCCTCCCAAAGTGCTAGGATTACAGATGAGAACCTCTGTGCCTAGCTTTTTTTTTTTTTGGAGAAACATGGTCTCACTCTGTTGCTCTTGAAGTGCAGTGGTGAGATCATGGCTCACAGTAGCCTCGACCTCCAGGGCTCATGCAATCCTCCCACCTCAGCCTTTTGAGTAGCTGGAACTGCAGGCAACACGCCATCATTCCCAGCTAATTTTTTTAAAAAACATTTTTTAGAGAAGGGGTCTTGCTATGTTGCCCAGATTGGTCTGAAACTCCTGGGCTCAAGAAAACTCCTGCCTCATTCTCCCAAGGTACTGGAATTATAGGCAGAGTTACCATGCCCATGATAGTTTTACCAAATGGTTATTTTTACCAATGTTGCTTTGGTATTCTGGGTCCCTTTCTTATAAATTTTAGGATTGATTTGTAGGGATGGAGTCTTGGGATGAACTTTTACCCTTTACCCTTTGTCAATTTCTAAAAGAAGAGAATCTGAGATAATTGATTGGGATTATGTTTTGAATGTATAGATCAATTGAGAAGGAATTAGCACTTTAAAAATACAAAATCTTCTACCATGTATGTGTAAGGGCAGGCAGTATGAGAAATCTCTGTAATTTCCTTTCAATTTTGCTGTGAACCTAAAATTAATCTAAAGAATAAAGTCTATTAAAATAAAAAATAAAAACCAGAGAAAAAGAATGCAGTCTGCTAATACATGAAAATGGTACCTCTCTCCACTTATATAGATCTTCTTTAATTTCTTCAAACATTTTGTATTTTTAATATACAGCTCTTGCACATATTTTTAAAAATGTACTTTTAAGTATTTTATGTATCTTGATGAAGTTATAAATGCCATTTAAAAATTTTTTATTTCTAGTTCATTACTAGTAAATGGAAATGCAGTTACGTTTTGCATATTGACCTTGCTAAATTCACTCCATAAGTTCTAATAGCTTTTTGCGGATTTCTCATCCTTTTATACATACCCTATCACGTAGTCTGCAAATAAAGAATATTTTGCTTCTTCCTTTTTAAGTAATGCCATTTGTTTCATTTTTTGGTCTTATTGCACTAGCTAAGACTTCTAGTGTAAGGCTGAATAAATATAGTATATTCTTAATCTTAGGAAAAGCATTCAGGCTTTTATCATTAAGTATGTTGTTATGTAGATTATATATATATGTCTGTTATCAGGTTAAGTTACTTTATTTACAGTTTGTTGATTTTTAAAACAATAAATGGTGCTGACTACGATGCATTTTGTGCATCAATTGAGATGATCATATATTTCTCCTTTATTCTGGTTGGTAAATTATATTGATTTATTTCTGAATGCCAAAACAATCTTGCATTCCTGAGATAAGCCTCACCTGGTCATTGTGTGTTATCTTTTTATATATTGCTGTATTTGATTTGCTAATATTTTAGTAGGGATTTTTGCTTCTCTGTTCACGGGGTATATTGCTCTATAGTGTTCTTGTAATATTGCTGGTTTGATAAGATGAGTTGGGAAGTAGTCCCTGTTTCTCTTTTCTTTCTTTTTTTTCTTTTCTTTCTTTCTGAGACAGGGTCTCACTTTGTTTCCCCCTGCTGGCTGGAGTGCAGTGATATGATGTCAGCTCACTGCAGCCTCTACTTCCCAGGTTCATGTGATCCTCCCACCTCAGCATCCTGAGTAGCTGTGACTATAGATGGGCACCACTATGCCTGGCCAATTTTTTTTTTTTTTTTGAGATGGAGTCTCACTCTGTCACCCAGGCTGGAGTACAGTGGCATGATCTTGGCTCACTGCAAACTCTGCCTCCTGGGTTCAAGTGATTCTTCTGCCTCAGCCTCCCAAGCAGCTGGGACCACAGGCACATGCCACCATGCCCAGCTAATTTTTATATTTTTAGTAGAGACAGGGTTTCACCATATTGGCCAGGATGGTCTTGATCTCCTGACCTCATGATCCACCTGGCCTCCCAAAGTGCTGGGATTACAGATGTGAGCCACCGTGGCCGGCCTTAATTTGCATTTATTTTTCTTGCTGCTTGAAGTACAAGATTAGAGCATTGTTTTAATTTTTCTTCGTCTTAAATTTATTGCCATTATTGCTTGTATTTTTCCCTCATTCTTGTTGTCATTTTATAATTTTTCTTCTTTTCTACTATAAGTGTTCAAAACCATAACTTTCCGTCTAAGCACTAACTTAATATATCTCACAAATTTTCAAATGTTTTGTTTTCATTTTCCTTCCAATCAAGTTTTTTCTAATTTTCTTTGTGTATGGACTTTGTTTTATTTCATATGGATTATCATTGATAATTCTGTTTTTTTGAGACAGGGTTTCACTCCATTGCCCAGGCTGGAGTGCAGTGGTGTGATCTCAGTCACTGCAGCCTCCACCTTTGGGGCTCAAGCAATCCTCCCAACTCAGTCTCGCAAGTAGCTGGAACTACAGACGTGCACCACCATGCCTGGCTAATTTTTGTATTTTTAGTGGAGGCAGGGTTTCACCATGTTGCCCAGGCTGCTCTTGAATTCTGGGGCTTAAAAAATCCACCTGCCTCAGCCTCCCAAAGTGTTGGTATTATGGGCATGAGCCACTGCATCTAGCTCTTGATAGTCTAACCCCTATTATAAGGTGGAATGTTCTATAGAGTAAATTAGATCAAATTGGTTGGTTACATCTATCTTTTATATCATTACCAGTTTACTATCCATTGGTTCTGTCAACCAATGAGAGACAAATATTGAAATCTCTGTTATAATTATGGATTTGTCTATTTCCCTTTCACTTCTGTGAATTTTTACTTCATGTAGTTTGTAATTCTAAAGAGCATAACTTTGAGGCTTGTTATGTTTTCTTGAAGAATTGGCACTTTTTATCATTATAAATTTTTCTTATATATCTCTGATAATATTTCTTGTCCTAGAATCTATTTTATTTTACATTAATATAGCCATCTCATTTTCATATTATTTGTGTTTTCAATATATACTTTTCATAATTTTATTTTTAACTCATATATCTTTATATATAAAGTGTGTTTCTTCCAGAGAGTATCATTTGATTTTTTTTTTTTTTTTTTTTTTTAAGAATCACATCTTAGTTGATGCAATTTGGGTAGAGCCTACTTCATGGTACTAGTACTCAAGGTGAACATTTGACCAGGACTCAACAAAGAGAAGAGTCCATCAACCTGGCCACAGTGATTGATTCAAAGCTAGACATGTGGCCTGTGTCTGAGAACTTCTTTTTTTATTTTTATTTTTTTTTTAAAGAAAAAAGAGGGGCGGACTCAAGATGGTGCAGTGAGAACAACCCAGGATTGAAGCTCTCGGTGAATGTGTGGAGGGTGAGTCAGGGCCGCATTTCCAGACGGATCTTTGTTGCCCACAGAACAGGGAAATTCCCAGGTATAAAAGAGATGTGGGGTGCCAGCGAAGAGGTTTTGGCTGGTGCAGCTGGCGGTCGGCGCTACAGCGCAGCGGTGCTCCACAGCGCTCCGCACAAAGTGCATGGGTCTGGGTGCCCTGTTGAACCAGCAATTTGAGTCTTGAGAGGGCAGATTGGCATACCCATCTGATCGAACGGGACTTGGACAGTGAGCCAGGCCAGGAGATTCCAGGGAAACGGCATTTGGGCCAGCGCAGTGGGACAAACAAAACAGCGATTCCAAATGCTCCGGGTGGAGAGTTTCACTGTGGGTACAGCTAC